ACAGTCTTATGTACACTTCCACAACTCTTACCCTGCGTATGCAAATCTTTTTGACGTCATTCTACCTTCATAGACTTCCACATTTATTGCACTGACCAGAATCATGTTTCCCCATCATTTGAATGACCCATTCTTCTTTCTGTTGCCAGAGTACTAATTCTAACTAAACCAACTTGTTTTTGTATATTATACAGATGACGACCTTTATTTCCTTTATCCCACCTCTCCCGCCACATATTTTTAATAGCTGTTTTAATTAAGCCTTTAATTTCAGATTTACCCAAAGGTATTTCTAAATCAGTAACATTATGTTTAAGGGCCTGTTTGGCTATCTTGTCCACATCCTCATTACCCTCCACACCAACATGAGCTGGCACCCATAAAAATACTGCTAAAAGTCTCATTTGGCAAATTCTATGCAGATTTTGTAAAATTTATATTAATATATCTTGTCTTGAATCCGATTTTCCACTTATTAAACTAGTAAGAACTAAAAACGAATCTGAGCAAATTACTACAGCAGATGGTTTAACTTCTTCTACCCACTGTAATGCTATCAAAATAGAGGAAATAATAATAATAACGTAAAAAATTAATTATAATACAATAAATGAAAATAAGTAGAAATAAAAAATTCACAAAATTAGAATAAATAAAAAAAATATATATATACTATATATATATTAAAAACTATACTAAAATAGATACTATACTAGAAAATAAAACTATACTAAAAATAGTATAAATATAGTAAAAACAGTATAAATATAAATAAATAAAATATAATAAAATGAATGAAAACAAATACAAATACACTTAAAACAACAAATAAAAAAATAATAGTAATATAAATAAAATGCAATATAATAAATAAAAAAATACATATAAATATAAATAACAATTAAAAATAATAAAGATGAAAAATAAACAAACAAAAACAATCAATGGAAAAATAAATACAAAAAATAAAATAACGAAAAACAATAAGTAAAAATAGAAAAAAGTAAAGTAAACAAAATAAAAAAAAAAGAAAAATAAAACAAAAAATTAAGAATAAAAAAGAGAAAAACATGCATTAAAAAAAAAATGTCCCAACATATTCAAATGCCTATTTAGCTCATCTGTTAACTAAATATGTTCAAACATGATCAGTTAGTTTATTACTCTCCACGTGTGTCAGAAACACACAGATCCAATCAAACGCTGCCAGCGGTCTTATTTCAGAAAGGGTTTTATTGCAGGGTGTGACATCAAAGTGAAAAATGTAACAGTTACAAAGCTTTTCGATTCTGAAAAATGAGTTCAGATTCCATGAGCCAAAGAAAAGATTATAAAACAGAGAGTTCCGGTCCTTGATTCTGATTGGCTGAGCCGCGTACACCTTTGTTTACGTTTGTGTGTTGCTCGGCAACCACTTTGTTGCAACCACAACTGTTTCTGAGGAGCTACATTGTTTGGTGGAAGAATACTGTTTTTATTAATATCATTACACTTTATTTGCTTTCTGTGAAACCGTACTACTAGCTAAGGGGGTTTTACTAGCTAACAACGCCCCTTAGCTGTTATAAATTCACTGTAAACCACGGCTTCACGGGGATTATTGCTTTAACGAAACATTACAGATGTCTCAGCAGGTAAAAACAGACGAGTGCAAGTTCTGTGTTCTGAAATAAACGGCAAGTAAATCGAAATGCAAATCTCTAAACTAAACTAAACGCTGTGCGTGGCGTTTATGGCTTCAGTTGTCGTTCTTAAATTAACAAAAACACACACGATCAGACACCAAATCTACAGAAATGACAAAAGCAAACAAAAGGGCATCCTCAAAAATACCATTTTGTACATTTAGAATCATTTTTGGAGACAAAATGCATCTGATGTAGAGCCCATACAAATCTTATAAAGTCTTGTTTTTTCCCATATAATAATAATAATAATGGACGTTAAACATGATGGCTCTCAAAACAACACTCACAGACAATCCTGGAGAATGACGAGAGATAGTCAGTAAACGTATACTGTTAAAGATCTCAGAAACATGAATGAGCGAGTTAGTTTGTTATTCTAGTTCCTTCTGTGTCAAAGGCACGCCGACATCTGCAATAAAACACTCGAAAGTCTCAAACAAAAGATGCTTATAAACCCAAGGACCAAAGCAAGAAACAGCAGCTCGTGTGCAGCATTTATAAACGTTATTAACCCTCATAATGCATTCAGAATCTGATACTGTTTTCATATTCTGGGCCCATTTGGACCTGAACAATCATTATTTTATAAAACAGTCATAACTTCTTATTAATGAGTAACTGTGAAAAAAAAAAAATCTCAGTTTTGAATGTTGCCATGTCAATACTGCATTTAACCCTTTATTATTAATTTAAAAATGTAGAAAGTCTTTGATTTTTTTTAATTACACGTGAACCAGACTGAAAAAACTGAGATGCAAAATATGTATATATTTTTTTCAATACTGATGAGAAATTTCATTTGAATATGTCATTGTATGAAATTTATAAGAACATATAATCTGAGAATTATCAGTATAAAATCCTGTGGAATGAATGAAGTCTCTTCTGCTCATCAAAGCTGTATTTATTTGATCAGAAACAGTAATATTGTGATATATTTTTACTATTTAAAATAACTGCTTTCTATGTGAATATATTTTAAACTGTAATTTATTCCTGTGATTTCAAAGCTGAATTTTCAGCATCATTGCTCTTTTTTTTTTTTATAAATGTTTTTTTGGGAAATAAATTCTAGAAATTAATACTTTTATTCAGCAAGGATGCTTTAAATTGATCAAAAGTGATGATAAAAGACATTTATAATGTTACAAAAGATTTCTATTTCAGATAAACTCTCTATCTATTCATCAAAGAAACCTGGAAAAATTCTACTCAGCTGTTTTCAACATAATAATAATAATAATAATAAATATTTTTTGAGTAGCATATTAGAATGATTTCTGAAGATCATGTGACACTGAAGACTGGAGTAATGATGCTGAAAATACAGCTGCGCATCACAGAAATAAATTAGATTTTAATAGATATTCACATAGAAAAAGAGAGTTCCGGTCCTTGATTCTGATTGGCTGAGCCGCGTACACCTTTGTTTACGTTTGTGTGTTGCTCGGCAACCACTTTGTTGCAACCACAACTGTTTCTGAGGAGCTACATTGTTTGGTGGAAGAATACTGTTTTTATTAATATCATTACACTTTATTTGCTTTCTGTGAAACCGTACTACTAGCTAAGGGGGTTTTACTAGCTAACAACGCCCCTTAGCTGTTATAAATTCACTGTAAACCACGGCTTCACGGGGATTATTGCTTTAACGAAACATTACAGATGTCTCAGCAGGTAAAAACAGACGAGTGCAAGTTCTGTGTTCTGAAATAAACGGCAAGTAAATCGAAATGCAAATCTCTAAACTAAACTAAACGCTGTGCGTGGCGTTTATGGCTTCAGTTGTCGTTCTTAAATTAACAAAAACACACACGATCAGACACCAAATCTACAGAAATGACAAAAGCAAACAAAAGGGCATCCTCAAAAATACCATTTTGTACATTTAGAATCATTTTTGGAGACAAAATGCATCTGATGTAGAGCCCATACAAATCTTATAAAGTCTTGTTTTTTCCCATATAATAATAATAATAATGGACGTTAAACATGATGGCTCTCAAAACAACACTCACAGACAATCCTGGAGAATGACGAGAGATAGTCAGTAAACGTATACTGTTAAAGATCTCAGAAACATGAATGAGCGAGTTAGTTTGTTATTCTAGTTCCTTCTGTGTCAAAGGCACGCCGACATCTGCAATAAAACACTCGAAAGTCTCAAACAAAAGATGCTTATAAACCCAAGGACCAAAGCAAGAAACAGCAGCTCGTGTGCAGCATTTATAAACGTTATTAACCCTCATAATGCATTCAGAATCTGATACTGTTTTCATATTCTGGGCCCATTTGGACCTGAACAATCATTATTTTATAAAACAGTCATAACTTCTTATTAATGAGTAACTGTGAAAAAAAAAAAATCTCAGTTTTGAATGTTGCCATGTCAATACTGCATTTAACCCTTTATTATTAATTTAAAAATGTAGAAAGTCTTTGATTTTTTTTAATTACACGTGAACCAGACTGAAAAAACTGAGATGCAAAATATGTATATATTTTTTTCAATACTGATGAGAAATTTCATTTGAATATGTCATTGTATGAAATTTATAAGAACATATAATCTGAGAATTATCAGTATAAAATCCTGTGGAATGAATGAAGTCTCTTCTGCTCATCAAAGCTGTATTTATTTGATCAGAAACAGTAATATTGTGATATATTTTTACTATTTAAAATAACTGCTTTCTATGTGAATATATTTTAAACTGTAATTTATTCCTGTGATTTCAAAGCTGAATTTTCAGCATCATTGCTCTTTTTTTTTTTTATAAATGTTTTTTTGGGAAATAAATTCTAGAAATTAATACTTTTATTCAGCAAGGATGCTTTAAATTGATCAAAAGTGATGATAAAAGACATTTATAATGTTACAAAAGATTTCTATTTCAGATAAACTCTCTATCTATTCATCAAAGAAACCTGGAAAAATTCTACTCAGCTGTTTTCAACATAATAATAATAATAATAATAAATATTTTTTGAGTAGCATATTAGAATGATTTCTGAAGATCATGTGACACTGAAGACTGGAGTAATGATGCTGAAAATACAGCTGCGCATCACAGAAATAAATTAGATTTTAATAGATATTCACATAGAAAAGAGTTATTTTAAATAGTAAAAATATTTCACAATTTTACTTCTTCTGCTGTATTTCTGATCAAATAAATGCAGGCTCGGTGAGCAGAAGAGACTTCTTTAAAAAACATTAAAAATGTTACTTCTTCAAAAACACGAAACAGGTTATATCTCTTAAAAAATAACTGTAAAAAATCTGAAAAAAATAAATGATGTGTATTTTGAGGGTCTTAAAGCATCTGCGAAGTTTCGTTCCCGTACTAAAAACCCTGCATTGTTTAGAAACGTTTATGTGTGTCTTCCGGGTCAAAACAGACCTGAATGCGTGAAGAGGGTTAAAACATGGCAATATGACAAAAGATACAAAACTGAACTGCACTTTTAGTAAATCCGACTGTGTTGATTTGAACAAAAAAGTCACTGAGTCTGTGTGTTTTAAAGGTGTTTCACCGTCCGAAAACCACATCTAGAATTGTAGGATTTAAAAAATAAACACATTTAATGTCTCTTATAAAGTTGTACCTTCATGTTGCACATTTTACAATAAATAATCCAAAGTATCAGAGCACAGTTTCACTGATCTGACTGATGCAAACATAAAGTGAATCAAGTGACATTTCACCATTAATAGAAATAATTCAAATAGCGTTCAGTCTGAGTGAAAACATATTCTTAGCTCTCCTTTACCTGAACACGCTTCTGTAAAGGGATTGTACATCATCACAGTGGCGGCCTGTGATTGGCTGGTGAGCTGTGTATGTAATGAGGGGGCGTGGCTTAGAATCAAACACACACAATGGAGGCGGAGCTTTGCTGTATTTATGATGGGTGAAAAGCTTCTGCAGCCGTTTCGTGATCTAAAACATGTTTTTACTGATTCTGTTGTCCTGAGATGAGTTCTGCGTCAGTGTGCTTCGGTCGTGTCCAATCCCAGCGCTTGAGCTTCTTCTGCGGTCAGACCGCCCTTCAGAGTCCTCCTCACTGAGACACAACACCAGCATCAGTCTCTGATTAACTCGCACACAATAACAACTCTGTGAATTTCTAAGGCTCTAAATGATGAATTTGATCAAAACACACAATCTGCTGCATGCCTTCTGTCTCTGATTGAGTGTTTTATCCAGTAAAAGCTCTTTTAGTGTAATTGTTCAAGCGTTCAGCTTCAGCTCGAGCTTCTCGAGTCAAATCTTGACTGATTTTATCAAGTAAATAGCTTAGAATAACTTACGAAGAACAATAAATACCGTCAGCTCTTTGACAAATTGCTTTGTTCCTCTTTTGTAAGTTGCTGCTAAATGCATAAATGTGAATGTAACTTCTATATTGTTATAATCAAAACATTAAATTAAAATAATGTTTTATTTAGTTTTTTTGTGTGTCAGATTATTGATGATTATGATGTTTTTATTGATTTTGATGTTTTTATTATTATTATTTGTAATTGTTTTATTTTGATCATATTTATTTTCAAATAATGTATTTATGATTTAAGTGTTTACTAACTTTAACATGATTTTATTTTTTAAATTTGTATGACGTGTTGTGTTTTTATTTTATTTTTTTATTTAACATGTTTGTGGTTTTATTAATTTTTGACTTTTTTTTTAATTTATAAACTATTTTCATCACCTTTTATATTGTTAGGAATATTTCCAGATGAACACTTACATAAAACTAAATAATTAGAAAAAAACAAAACAAAAGAACAATCGAAATAAAACACGGAGATTCAAATAAATCACAAAAATGTCAAATTAAAATGAATAATGTTAAATTAAAAACAATCGAAATAAAGCACTTAGTAAACATTTATAATATCATAAAAGTTAATAATTAAAATAAATAAATTATTTTAAAATAAAAATGGATCAGAATAAATAAACAAATTAGAATCATTTTTTAAAATGATTTTTATTATTAATTATTATTTTATTATTAATTTTAACTAAGTGTTTTTTATTTTAGATTTTTGTTTTTATTTTACCATTATTTATTTAACATTTTTACAATGGACTGAAGCAGCTCAGCTTTACTTGATTCTCCATCATCTTTTGAGGAGCGTTTGTTTCCAGAAGCTTTACTTTCACTGTTCCTCATCATATTAATATCAGCATCTGATGCAAATTCATATTTTTGCTCAGTTTGAGTCTCTGAATAAAATTGAGCTGTTTTTTCTTTAATATTCTCACTCTATCAGTCTATATGAGCCATAAAAGCCTGATGGAGCAAATATGATTTCCTTCTATAACTCTTCCATTTCTGAAAATTCTATTTTTCTGACTATTATTTCATTGGTCAGGCTTTACAGTGTTAAGAGAGAATTTGCTGATGAACGTACATGACTTGCGGTTTGCGCGAGAGCGGCGTCGTTCTCGGGGCTGCGCTCGTTCTCTGGGACTCTGAGTGGCAGATCGTACGATTCTCTCCATGATCTCATCTGCAGCGTCGTCCGTCGCGCACTGAGACTCTTCGTTCCCTGCAGCCCAAGCGCTGCGGCCTGTAGAGACACACACGAGGAGGTTAGACCGCTTCACCTGAATGAGTTTCCACATATGAACACTGATCGTGTGTGCGTGTGTGTGTGTGTGTGTGTGATGTGAGTGTGTGTGTGTGGGGG